TAGTTGTTTATCACAAACTAGGATATCAAGCCAAAGTGAAATCCATATTTGGTATGAGGCTATAATCTTCTCTTTTTCATCTCTATTATGTATCTTTATATACAGTAGATGATGCAAAGACCTTTTTACCTAACTGATACATGTATCATTCTGAACTTACGACTGAAGATTTCCTACAAACCTGACATAGTTCTGTAACCCCTCAGCTAACTATATTTACAAGAGCATTAGAGAGTTATTGAATGATGTGCAGTATTCATATTAGTAAATGGGGCTGAAAAAAGTATGCATGTTTTAAATATTTGAGTCCACAAGATTAGTAGGAAATCAGCTTTTAATTTCATACCAGATAATATAGTATAGTTCCTGTTAGGACTCCCATGTAGGCTGTATTTCCATGTATATTTCTGCATTTGGAACTTAGACTCACTTTAACATCTTTTGTCCTGAGTCTGATCATCAGAGTGAGTTATGAATTGAGAGAACCTGTGTAGTTTCTCGAGTTTAACTAGTCTAATTCTCTTATGTATGTGAGTATAATGTGATCCATCAATGTGCAGTCATCCCTGCAAGGTCATACAGCTGATGAGAGGCAGAAATGGACTTGACAACATGACATTGGACACTCAGCCCCATTTCCTGTCTGAGTCTCCCCAAAACTCACAAAGCACTTTACTCCCATGGCCATGTGTGCTACAAGTCAAGAGTTCTTTGAAAATGAATTGTACTTTGTGTGGTTGATATTTGTTATTTAAAAAGATGGTGGATGGTTATTAAAGTCCATGTGACTAGGAAAATGTCCATAACATTTCCTAGGTCACAGCACAGAGTAAAGGAAAAATCGCTTCATAAAGGGAAATACTGAGCCTGCTTCTTCAGGGTCTAGCTGGATGAGTTCTAATCTTTTCCTCCATATGCCCACACCCAGGCGCCATATCTAGCACAGGTCCCACATCCTGTGTTCTGGCCTAACCTGGTCACCTTTTCTGGTTCATTCCCAGCCTCAAGGCTTCATTTTGAACCCAATTGTCTGCTCCCAGTCTACCGGCCCCTTCTGTCCCAACCTGCAGGACATCAACCTGGGGCAAGAGAGTCAGGGATAGGGAATGGGGACAAGAGACGAAGAAAGAACGACCACAAGACAGGATTCTGATCAATTGGCAAACTTTACTTTTTTCAGGCTAGCTTATATAGTCAGGATATGGGGAGGGGCAGAATGGGTTGTTTGTGCACCAGGTGTTGGTATAGGCAGGATATTAGGAAGCCACAAAGAGGCTGTTTGGCAGAGTAAAGAGTTCATGAGTAAGAGGTCCAGAAAGGGTTGCTTAGGTGACTGAGCCTGTGGGTGGAGGACTGGGTCAGGTTGTTTCTTTTCTTGAGCTGAGGTTCTAAGGAGCTGCTATGTAAAGGTAAACTATGTGGCCTGCCAACCATGGCCTAGGATCTCATGCCAAGCCCTGAGATTTGGCTCCCAACATCCTTCCATACCAAATCCAACCTCCCTACCAGCCACATTATGTACCATCTATTTTCAGGGTTTAGCTTGGGAATCTGCCTGATCATCCTGTCCTTGCACAGCAACCCAGTCCCCTGTGCCCACGAGTGTTCATTTCTCCTGAGCCATATCAGATCTGTAGGCTCAACCAGACCTTCACATCTTTTTTTCTGCCTCAGCCTGGTCTGCTGACAGCAGACCGAAAACTAACAGAAGAGGTCCATATACCCAGACATCTTTGCAAAATACGAAGAGTAAGAGGATTTCTGCGGTATTTTAGAAAGAATAGGGCATGAAGTTTATTCCTAAAGTAATGACCAGAACCTGTAATTGTACAGACACCATAATCTTGCATCTGCACACAATGAAGTAAGGAACTGATGTCCTTTGGGCAAAGTAATACAGCATTGTATTTACATAACAGCCTCCAGTTTTTTTAAAGAGGTTTACAGTTAAAGCTAAAAATCATGAAATGCTTATTCTATCAAACTCAGAAAAGATCGTATATAGTATGTGTGCTTTCTCTTAGAGGCATTGTCTCAAGTTGTTTTTAGTTTCCAAAGTCACATGTAAAAGATGACTTTGGTGACACTTTCTAAATATTCTGCCAAGAACAAAATTGTTTCTTTTGGAACAAGTAGGGGAGGTGCCTTTTACATTTGCAGCTTCTCTTTGGATAATTTTCAGATTTAGAAATATTTTCAAGGATATTGATTTGAGCAACAGAAAGTAAGGTTAGTCTCTATCTTCCTGAGCACCTTTAGCGCCTGTAAAAAAAGAAACCAAACCTGCTGGGAGGTGGAGGCCCATGCCAGTAATCTCAGCACTCCAGAGGCAGAGGCAGACGACCTCTGTGAGTTCAAAACCAGCCTGGTCTACAAGAGCTCGTTTCAGGACAGGCACCAAAGCCACAGAGAAACCCTGTCTCAAAGAAAAAAAAAAGAAACCTAACTTACTCTGAATGTATATATCTGTCTTCTGTGAGTCAGTGAGTTGAAGGAATGACTGTATAAATGAATATAATTAGGGATTGATCTGATCTACAAGAAGTACAGTGGCACCCTTTGCATTATGTTTCCTTTGTTGGAAGGATTAAATATCACCACACACACCACAGAACCAAATACAGCATACAGATAAGGACTTGATTTTCATAGCTTTTATTTGTGGGTTGCTGTGGTCCTTAGCTGTGATATTAACAGGCTTTAGACATCTACCTTCCAGCTTCTCTTTGCAATGAATGGGAATGCCATTTATCATGTGATCCTCTGTGCCAGCCTATAGCCCATCAAGCAGAAGTGGGCACTGTTTCTGGGGAGCTGTATGCCCCATCTTGATGTACTTACTGTTCCACCATAGAACACAAAACAGCAGACTGTCTGACTCTGAACTAACCCTCTTCCAATTGTGAGTCAAAGTGAGCCTTTCTGCTGTTCAAAATGGTTGGTCTCAAGCTCATTCCAGTAGTGGAAAGCTGACTAACACACCTAGGAACCTTTTAGAAATGCGAACCCACAGACTGCATCATAAGCTTGAGAGGCGGGACCTATCTAGCTACACTCAGCTGATTCTGATGACGATTAAGTGAAAGGGCACTTATATATAATATGGCAACTCCTCTTCCATTTACTTACCTGTTCCTCTCCCTTCATCCTCTTCCTTGCCTGTATTTCCTCTTCTCCTTTTTAACCTTTCCTTCCTCCGCTGCTATCTTTCCATCCTTCCCTTTCTGATCCTTCCTTCTCTCAGCCCTGGTGAACTAGAGATTAAAATTAGTCACTGCATTATCACCGCACTGGAGAAGCTGACCCATTTGATTTATGTGCTTACCTAATTGCTAAGAAGAAATGATATATAACAGCGAGTACCTCTGTCACAATTTTTCCCGGGCCACCTCTGCAAAGATGTTGGAATGCTCTGGAAGAAACTACCTTCTATTGTCAATAGGGTCGTCCTTGGAGACATTCTTTCTCTGAATATAATAGAATTTCAAAGCTTTCTGATTTAATCTTCCATGCTTCAAATCCAGATGCTGCTCTATTCTAGGTGAAAGATTGCTATTTCTTCATTATTAAAGGAGGAATTGTATCTCCCTAGCTATAATTAGTTATTTCAGCCTTCACATCAAAAGGGTAGTAATTTTCTGAGCCAGAGCTTTGTAGACTATCAAGAAAATAATTTTGAATGTCTTTTTTCTAAGCATGGAAATTGTGAGGCTAGGTTTAAACTATTCAGTTGAAAAAGTATTCAAGCTACGCCAGCGATAAAATCATATACTTGGTATTTTGTCACTTGTGGTACTTACTATGCATCTGTGATGTATTATTTCACCTGAAGGCTGCATGAGTTGTTAAGATAAAGTGAAAAACTAGGGAACATGGCATGTGAGGAAATTAAGCTGCGTTGTATCTTCTATTTACTTGTAATTTCAAGGAAGCCATGGCTGAGCTTCACCTTTGCTTTGACTTCTTAACTCAGAATTTCCTACATTAATCAACTTTTTACAGCAGTGTTCTATTTCTCAGTGCGTATACAGAGCCTGTGGATCCCCACCTGTCTGTCTTTTAAACTTTACAAAATATTTTTTCTCTGTAGTTCTCTGTTGAAATCTCATTACACCACTAAATAGAACCAAGCACCACAGAAGTTTCCCCAGAGGAACGCTATAGAATTACAGTGTTTGCAAACACTTAGCAGTTCATTTGGTTGTTGCTAACTAAACTTTGTTTTGCTGAATGGGTTTTTTAAGGATCCAACTACTGGTCACAGTCCAGTTTCTGAGCTCTCCAACCCTTCTTGGCACCTTTTACCTTTGGCAGGATCTTGCACTCTAGAATAATGGTATAAACTCTTTAAGTGTGGAAGAAACTGTCTTTACTGTAAAATCACTTGACTATTTTAGATGCCAGGACACCTGATAGCAGTTAGTAAGCCTATAGTATAGGGTTACTATTCTATTCTATAGTATAGGGTTACTATTCTATAGCCTATTCTATTTCTTGCATTCCTGACCTTATTCTCATAGATCCTCAAACAATTGTGTCCTTCCTCTGTGTTGAAATAACCACGTGCTGCTTTGCAGTTTATATAAATGCTGTCTTTGCTCTGGAATGCCATTTAGATAGTGCCTTAGAAATTTACACATGATCTCATGTGCTAGAGAGATGGAGATGGCTCGGCACTTATGAGTGCTAACTGCTCTTGCAGAGGACCTGGTTCAGTTCCAGCACCCACATAGTGGCTCAGAATGGTATATAACAACAGTTTCTGGGGATCCATTTCCTTCTTCTAACCTCAAAAGACAAAGACAACAGGTGCACACACACACACACACACACACACACACACACACACACACACACACACACACGAAATAAATACATTTTTAAATCTTTTTTTTTTACTTTAAAAGAGTCTTTTCTCATATTACATACCAATCCCATTTCCCACTCCCTCCCCTCCTCCTGATCTCCCCACCTTTCTTCTACCTACCCCTTATTCACTCCTCAGAGAGGGCAAAGCTTCCCCTGGGGAGTCAATCAAGTCTGGCACATCACTTTGAGGCAGGACCAAGGCCCTCATACTTATATCTAGGCTGAGCAAGGAATCCCTTCAAAGAGAATGAACTCCAAAAAGCCAATTCAAGCACTATGGACAAATCCTATTCCCACTGTCAGTGGCCCCACAGACTGACCAAGGCACACTATTGTAACCCACATTCAGAGGGCCTAGCTTGGTCCTATACATGCACCCAAGCTATCAGTCCAGAGTGAGTGAGCTCCCATTAGCTCAGGCCAGCTGTCTCTGTGGGTATCACCATCATGATCCCATTTGCTCATGTTATCATTCTTCCCTCTCTTCAACTGGACTCTGGGAGCTCAGCCTAGTGCTTGGCTGTGGATCTCTGCATCTGCTACCATCAGTTACTGGATGAAGGTTCTGTGATGACAATTAAGGTGGTCATCAATCTGATTTCAGGGGAAGGCCAGTTCAGTCACCCTTTCCACTATTGCTTAGAGTCTTAGCCGGAATCATCCTTGTGGATTCCAGGGAATTTCCTTAGTGCCAGGTTTCTCTCTAGACCCGTACTAGCTTCCTCAGTCAAGCGATCTCTTTTCTTGCTCTCTCTCTCTGTCCTTCCCACATTTTCACCATCCCATTCCCTCAAGTTCTCCCCTCCCTATTTCTCCCCTCAGTACTTGGATGGGAAATAAGTATTTAAAAGTCAAAAACTTTATACATAGCATCTTCAGTCAACTCAGTGGTATTTGTCTTCCCAAAACAACTCTGTTTTTTGTTTGTTTGTTTGTTTGTTTGTTTTGGTTTCTTAAGACAGGGTTTCTCTGTGTAGTTTTGGAGCCTATTCTGGCACTCACTCTGGAGACCAGGCTGGCCTGGAACTCACAGAGATCCACCTGCCTCTGCCTCCTGAGTGCTGGGATTAAAGGCATGCACCACCAACACCTGACCCAACTCTTTTTTATTTAATTGCATATTTTTGACCGCTCATTTTTTTGCCTTTGAACTTTTATGAAAACCTGTTTGAAGAAAATATTAAATCTATTAGATGAGTGAAGTTTTTAGAAATTTAAAGGCTAGAAACCAAACACTGAAGTTTGAAGGCAGTGAGGAACTAAAATTGAGATATTACAAAACACATAGTAGTCACACTGTTGTTACAGGTGCCCTTTAAGACTGTTCTTACACACTTGACATGAAGAGGCACTGGAAGACCATGTCCAAGGGCGAAGCACATGTGTTCTGTCACCTAATAATTGCCAGATTCCTCAAACATGTGAAATTCCACACTTGTGTTCATAGATTAATATACCTTTGGAATCTTTGCTGAGTGTTTCCAGGACCCCCACCCCTGCCTTCCTCCAGGAAATTACAAAATGTGGTACTCAAAATAACATCATAGCTAGCTAGAAACACAAGGGAAAGAAAAGAGATTAGGAGTTGGGCAGGCAAGGAAATAGAATGTATTCAGAACACTCATTGCAGTGCTACTTAGGTTCTTTTTTTTTTTTGGTTTTTGTTTTGTTTATTTTTCCCCTGGGCATTTTATAACCAGGGTCATTTTCAGATTCAGGAAAGTGAACAGAAAGTAAAAGTTGTAAAAAATCTCACAAGCCATAGTATCTACTATTGAACTGGGGGATGGGTGGTGGCACATGCCTTTAATCCCAGCACTCAGGAGGCAGAGACAGGTAGATCTCTGTGAGTTCAAGGCCATCCTGGTCTACAGAATGAATTCCAGTACAGCCAGAGCTATTCCAAAGAGAAACCCTGTCTGGAAAAACAAAAACTAACAAACAAAAAGTTTCAACCATTAATATCACAAAGTATAGCTACAAATGTATTCAAAACAATCACATTTTAGAAATTGATTGGATAGTGAGAGGATAAAACTCTCAAAACAGAAGTACTGATGTTGTTTGCCTGGGTAGCATAATAGTGAAGTTGATGATGGAAGGCAGGATTGGGGACCCTCTCAGGTATTTCTGCCTCCAAACTAAGACTCACGGACCTTGTACTTCAGATGCCTTGGATAATGCACATAGAAAACATAAATTAGTGCTTTCTAAGTTATTTTAAGGATCAAGCAAATTTAACCATGTTTATCATGTATTTGTAGTTCAGACTCTTTGCAAAAGAGAAAATAATGGGTTGTAACAGTTAACATCCTATTAAAATGTTAGTATATTACTAGCTGAATTTTAAAGTATGCTAGGCAAATGCTACTAACCATTTCATTAAATAAATTTTATATAGGTACTTATGAAGAAATTGTTAGTCAAAACAAACTTTGTGTGTTATATACACTCATGAGATATACTTATTTTCACTACTTCTTAAATTCATGCTGACTTCTGTTAAAATATCAGTGCAGTACTGTTTTTCCTGTGTAGTTGATTATAGCCACTTCAGGGATTTGCACCAGTGACATATTAGCATTCTTGAATATGTATGAAATCCAATGGACTACTGTTAGTATATAAATAATATTCAGTTTTAAAATTTGTGACATATGGACTTATTGATAATCAATGTTTTACATTCTTGTCTGTTGTACAGATTGTAAAACTGTGTTGATGCTCTCTCCTGACCCTGAAGAAAGAAAAGATGGGATTCTGTGTGGAAATTAAAATGCAATTCAAAAATCTATACAAGGAATGCTAGGACTTGAGAAGCTTTGGTTGTTCTGAACTTCTCATCAAAGTCAAACATATTCATAGGATTGTTTAACCAGCACTTTGCTTATGATTAGAAAAAGATTCTCATACATGATATGAAAGACTTCTTTTTTTCCAGGAAATATATTTCAAAATCAGATTTTATTTTGTCTACTCCCCTAAGTCTGTCTGCCCTCATCATTACAAGAAGGGGATGAAAATTACACAGAGATAAGGGAGTTCTCTGTGTATGACTGTTTTTTCTTAGTATTTCCTGTTGTTTTTGTTTTGATCTGAGTGAGTTTTGAGTGATTAGCATAAAATGAATGTTTTTTTTTCCCTTTAGCAAACTATAAGACAGAATTTCAGGTGTTTTATACTGGAAAACATACATCCAGGTGTGTGAACGCCGAAGTACCTTACCCTCTATTTAGCTATTGGTGCTGCTCAACTTGAATCAGAATGGCAGATCACAGTGCCTTCATAATATTCGGTTAAGAACTACAACAAAGAAGATTTATTTCTTCTCTTCTTTAAAAATGTGCTCCCAAGGCAAGACCAGTGAGTGTTTATCCTAAGATTTAAGGAATGAGATGGAAAATTAATGTGCAGTAGTAAATAACTCAATAGAACAGATCAAGTAAGAAAGGGTGACCTATGATAGGAACCAGAACCCATTTTGTATTTTTTTTAATTCACGAGAAAAGAAGGCTTTAAAAGTCTTCGATGGGAATAGGTAGACCAAGAATTGGTCTATATCCATTTAATTTCTACAGTGAAACTGTCTCCCTAGTCATAGAAAACTGTAGAACAAGTAGGGGAAAGTGCTTGGGCATGCCTGCGTGGTCAGATACGTGTTATTTCTCAGTGTGCTTTACACAGGTTGACTCCTCTCCACAGAAAGTGTGCCTCAAGTCACCTGAGTGGAACATAGCAGTGTGTAGAAATAGGAATTACTCTTCAGAGCTAAAGCAAGTTTTAATAGATGCTGCCCAAGCTTTTGGAACTAGAAACCATGAAGATTCTCTGGGCTATTTCATTAACAAGTTGCATCTCTGCAGCCTGCATTGCTCTGCGTATTTATTGAATAGATAATAGGAAATAACTACTTTCTTTGTGAAGTCGTAAATAATAAGGCAGAAGGATATTAAACCCACTGAGATGTGACAGAAGAGCTAAAAACTTGTGGGTTTTTGAATTTTATGAGGCAGGCCCTCTCTTCCCCCCCACGAGTATATGTAAAATAAACAAATATCTTTGAGTTGTTTATGCAATTAATTATCAACTTAACACCATGGTTGCTAAATGAGGTTCTCTTAAACACATAAGTTGTTCGTGTACTTTTTTTTTTCTTCTGACAATAAGAATTGCTGAAGGGCTTTACTGAATAGAGAGAGGAAAAAAAATCTTAGCCTTACCCACAGTCCACCTTCAAACAGTGCAAAAGCCTTTTATGATTATAAAAGTTTTATATCTGTACTTCTTTCTCATAATCACTGTGTGGTTCCCATAAAGGTGATGGGAGGTCACTGCCTCTTCTGGTCCAACATAGTTTTATCCTGTTTACTGAAATAGTTCCCAGCAGTGGCATGCAGAGATGACACATTACCATTCTCCCTGCTATCAGCATGAGCACTCCTCGGGTTTGTCTTTGGAGGGCTTAGCATGATTTCACAATTAGTTTTTAACAGTAAGTGAAGAAAAGCACAAGTGGAGATACACTTACTGATTTAAGCTTTCAAGGGGCATTGGGCATTGTGTGTGACTCCAGTCATCACAATTACCTTTAGTTATGCTGCTCCGTACACTTTGTTGATTCAAGATTGTTTTCGGGTGCTATGGATTGGAGATAAATGTCCTTGATGTGGTCATTTTGTTTTCTCATCAGAGAGCCACTTTTGGATTCTGTAGAGAAGCGTGGGGTAGGAGCAAATGGGCTTCACAAGCAGGGGTGTCTAGAAATGGTTCTGCCCTTGGCTCATTTTGAACTGTGCAAATGGCAAGTTATTTAACTTCTCTGAAACTCCGCTTCGTGACCAGAATGGAGCATAAGGCTCTTTTGTTTAACAAATTAACTTGAATACATTTCCCTCTGTCCCTTTCTTGTTAAATATAAAGCACATGCATTTTTGAAATGTGTAAACCTACTTGGAAAAGAAAAATAGGATAAAGGCCAGGCTGGCGATAGTTTATAATAAGGAATGGAATGGGAAACTTGGGCTAAAGGACCCAAAAGAACAGATAGCATAAAGAAGTAACAACCTGCGATGGGGACCTGAGCAAAATTTGTAGTTTTTCATTCAGAAGAAGAGGCTTTAAAGGTCTTTAATGGGAATAGTTAGACCTCATAATCCCTGTCACACCCTGTGCATCCAAGCCAGTATTCTTATGAGACCCTGGCAAAAATATTCACTCTTCAAGGACATCCAAACAGAAAATGTTTGAAGACAGAAAATGGAGATGTGAAGTGCTATTAAAAAACATGATTTTATAAAACATCAACATTATATTTCATGTATCAATGGGTACATATCTTAAAATACATATATAGAAGAATTTTTCTAGCAAATATAGCAAATATAAAGTATTTTTCTGACATAGTTCATTATCTGTTACATTTGTGCAAAGTATTTCATAAACCCTAGCTTATAGAATATCCAGTGCATTGGGGGTTGTGTTATGTATTGGTCACATATATTCTGACTCACTTAACTCATCTAACACATTTTCTGATTTTTTTCATTCTAAAAATTAAAACTGTACTATTCCCACACTGTAAGTAATGGAGATAAACTGTTTATATTGAGAAATAAACCTGATCCTTACCTATACACCAGATATAGGGAATTCCTTCTGTATATTTCCCATTTCTTTCTGCTACTTTATCTGTTCAAACACTGTGTCTTTTTCTCTAGGACGTTGTGGTAGTTTGAATGTAATTGACCCCCATAAGCCTATAGGGAATGACATTGTTAGAAGGTATGACTTTGTTGGAGTAGGTGTGGCCTTGTTGGAGCAAGTATGTCACTGTGAGGACTGGCTTTGAAGCTCAAGATAGACCCAGTGTCTCAGACCACTTCCTGTTCCCTGAAGGTTCAAGATATAGCTCCTTCTCCATTCTTAGCTACTTCTTCAAAACTGTGTCTGCTTTCATGCTGTCATACCTCACCATGAAAATAATAGACTTAACCATTGAAACTGTAAGCCATCCAGTTAAATGTTTTCCTTAAAAGCATTGTCATGGTCATGTGGTCATGGTGTGTCTTCATAGCCAGAGAAACCCTAACTAAGACAAGCATCTTCATCTTTTGTGTGTGGTTCTCTCTTTATGTCTCTTTGTCTCTGTCTCTCGTGTGTGTGTGTGTGTGTGTGTGTGTGGTGTGTGTGTGTGTATGTATGTGCGTGTGCACATGCATGTTTATAGGTATGAGTGCCACAGTGTGCTATGTAAGTCAGAAGACAGCCTTGGGTATCAGTTCTAGCCTTTTACCTTGTTTGAGACAGGGTTGACTTTTCTTGTTCACTGCTTTGTGTACTGGCACACGCACATACATACATACATACACACACACACACACACACACACACACACACACGAGAGACAGACATACAGAGACATAAAGAGAGAACCACACACAAAAGATGAAGCCCACAAACTTCCAGTGATTTTCCTGTCCCTGCCTTTCATCTTGCATTAGGAATACTGAGGTAAGAGTTGAGTGCTACTGTGCCTACCTTAGTGAGCTCCGAGGTTTCAAATTGAGGTCCTCATAGCAACACTTTATCCACTGAGATGTCTCCATATGCTTGGAACTTTATTATCCAATCCTGGAGGTCTACTAATTGCATGTAATCAAATGCTTTCAATTTTCTGTGTGGTCATATGAAAACTTCAATGAAAGTTTTCTTTATCTGGCATTACAGAAGAGTTAGATTGCAGCATTCAGGCCTGGTAGAACAGGCCTGTGATCATGGCAATTTGGGAGTCTTGGACAGGAGGTTTATCAGTTCAAGTCCTGCTTGGCATAAAGAGTAAGCTCTGGGTCAGCCTAGACAGCTGAATTAGACTGTCTCAAAATAAAAATGTAAAAAGAGGGCTGGGAATGTAGTTTAGTAGTAGAACCATTGTCTAGTGCATGTGAGACTTCAGGTTCACTCTCAGGTAAATACACCAAAAAAGTTAGCAGAAAGTATAAAAAGCATAAAAATGGTTTATGTGGAATGCAGTTTTGTTTGTTATTTACAACAAAATTATCCTCAATAAATTATTAATCAACATAATTGCACATCTTGTGATAGATAAAATATTATTGTGTATGTATAGAACTGTATGCATGAAAATTAGGTAGATGGTAGTTAGCACGCTTGATCATTAAGGCATGTAGTTGGGAAAGCATTTACTATTGAGTGTTTCCTTGGGAAACATGTTCCAATTTTAAAAGTATATTTGAGTAATATTAAATAGAAGACACAAAGTTAGACTTGATTCAAGACAACCAATTCTTTTAAATCTCCTTTCCTGTGTTGTCAGTAGTGATTACAAGACCTGAGTGACAAAGATGGGATGACTTCTGGAAGTTAAAGCAGCTGTGATTCTATTAAATGTTACCAGTCACCTTGTTGGTGGTTTCCAAATAGCTTGTCCCTGCTGGTAGAATACCTAAGCTCTTGTTCCTTAGGAAGGATCGCTCAGTATGTCAAGGGGTTTTTCTTATGTAAAGAACAGTGTCCTCTTTTGGAATGATGCAGCATCTTAAACATCTTTGTAACTTTCTGTGGTGTGGTTTAATCTGTTTCCAAACCATTGTCCTAGAAGATGAGTAGTAAGTTATCCTAGTAATTTGGACTCCTATTTAAAGGCTTTTGAGACACTATTATTTCTTCTTCTCTCTCTCTTTCATACTTGTTGGTCAGTCAGTTTTCAAATACTTAACTGCTTATGTACCATGCTTTGCTGTCCACTGCCGTGCTACCACCATGATAGTTAATGGACTTGCCCTCTGAAACTGTAAGCAAGCTCTTAATTAAATGCTTTTGTTTACAAGTTGCCTTATTTGTGGTGTTTTATGACAATAGAAAACTAAGATACTAATGAAAATATGGGAGAATAATCTATAATTAATGTGTAAATTACTACATTAGAATTCTTTGGCATTTCATATATCTTATTCGGATTATTCTACAGCATCATAAAGAAAAGAAGAGTAAGTTTGATATAGATTAGCAGACTACAATGCTACAATGGTTTGTTTGGCCATACATACAGCTAATATATGTCAGGGGTAGCATAAACAATGACTACAAATGGGCTAAAAAAATCACTGAGTATGTAACAATTGTTTTCTATGTAGTAGAACATGACAGGGTAAAAACAATGGAGACACTTGTGAAGATAACAGGGCTGTAGCCTGAAATATATAATCTCTACATAGGAGTAGAAGATGATACAACATGTGAAAACTAGTAAAATGTAACTTTTACAAAACTGAGTGTGAGAAATGAAATCTTCTCCTTAATTACATTGGAGTTAAGACCAGGAACTCTGCTCTGCTGAAACAATGGCTGCATAATACTTACAAGATTTTCCTTCTTGGAAAGCGAGTATGCACATTCACACAGTCTGTGGAGGATACACAGGTACAATTATTGAAAGACATATGGATGTAAATTATCAATTTATCAATTGATTAGAGCTTAGTCCAATTCCAATTACTCTGTAAAAGCAAGAGTATCAATTAATGTGATTTATTTAGATCCATGTGAGCTTGAGGGTATTATGCCTTGCTCAGCATTTAGTTAAGAGCCCTGCTTCCTTCCCAACCACCACACACCCTCAGCTTGATTCTCACTGATGCATCGAGAGTTTGAGCTAAAGGAGTCTTCTGTGGAAATAGGTTCAACCACAGAAAATAGTGCTTATCTTTACATTCATCACACTTGACTTGAAAACTCTGTGTTATGCTTCCCAGGGCTCAGTCGAGAGTCAACCTTGCCTGGATATTTGTAAGGTGACACAGTTGAACAAGGTACAGTGCAGCCTTGGATTTTCCACAGGGAGCTTAATAGCTCAGAAGTAGAACGACACTATCCAGGTCTTAGTGATCATTGGTAGCATTTATTTGCCCAACAACAAATAATACAAAGAATTACTTATAGTATATTAGGCAAATTCTTGTGTCAATGTTTTGGGTGACAGCAACCAAAGGACTCAAAATTTTAGATCATTTATACAAGGCTCCTTCAATCAGTGCCTTGTGAATTTTGTGGCCATAAACAACGCCTGGGGGAATGTAAGAAAAGTCTAACATGGAAGCTTCAAATGACTTATCGTTTCTGCATAGGCTGTGTGTGTGTTTTGTGTGTGTGTGTGTGTGTGTGTGTGTGTGTGTGTGTGTGTGTGTGTGTGTGTGTACACACGCACACACAGGGTATTTAATGCTTTAGATTTCTTAGGACCTGGAACTAAGAAAAGTTTTAATTGAAAACTGAATAAAATTGAAGGTGATTGGATCATTAGTAACATTTCCAACACAGACTTTTTAGACATTTCAAAATTCCAGATATCAGGAGAAAGAAATCGCAATAAAACAAAGCAAACAAAAATAAATGAATAAGCATGCCAGAAACTGTTTTTTGCTCCTCAAAGAGAAAAAAAAAAAAACTAGAGATATTTACTTATTACACAATTTAATATATTCATGGCCCACAATAGATGATTAGAGAAAGCTAAAATTTAACATTTAACTCAAGTTTCAGACAATTAAAAGGTACAGTTACTGTTTTATATGTATGTCATATGGCTCACATAATGGAAATCCAGGTGTGCCTGTTTCCATAATATTCTGTCATCTATTAAAATTCCAACTTTGCTTTCAGAGAATGAAAAATGATTCCACTTCTAGGATTATTTAGCCAGCGCTGTGATGCAGAGGCAATTTTCAGATTTGCATTCTTATCAGTGTTCTGTAAGCTCTATTATTTTAACAAGGCCTTTCCAATTTCCCCTAATGTTTTTCATAACTACCTCAAACTTATATTTAAATCAAATTTCATTTTTGGAGGAACTCATTTCTTGTAGACATTTGAAGCTCCCATCATCACACTTACATGGAGTTGCCATTTCTATGTGTGAAATTTAGTATACGGATTTACCTCATAGTAGATTTACTAAGCTTTAGCCAAAAGTCATGAATGTAAAATTTATATTTTCACTCTTATCAGCACATTCGCAAATCATGTTGCATATGGGCTGCTTACTTTAGCTTGTAGGAGAGAGGACTAACTAAACCTTGAAAACAAGTATGTATAAACGGAAAGTGGGGAAAGCTTTTACTTGACAAAGAAATGGTATGCTATTTTTTATTTTGCTGAGTCATTGTATTAATAATATTCAATATTTAAAAGTCAGGTTATAATATCCTAACTTCAGGTAAGTTTTAAATTATAAAGTGACTATATTATTGCCTTATTGAACAGTCATATTACACATATTAATTCTGCAAAATTTGGAATACATTGGTGTGCTTTCATGAACTGCCATTGTTTCAAAAACTGTCAGGGTTTGCTGGACAACATGCAATAATCCTACCACTTAGGAAGTGGAGAAAGGAGCATCATCCTCCCATTCTTGTTATACAGAGAGTTTGAAACATGAGATCCAGTAAAGAAGTAGAGAGGAGGACAGGGAGGGAGGAAGGAAATGGAAAAAAGCAAATTAGAATAAAAACTTAAAACATGTTAATTGTATATCAGATATTATTTATATTAATATTTCATTAGAATGTATGATGTTTTGGCCCTACCAATAAAATAGCAAGTTTGTATCCTTAGTCAATACTGCATTCTTTAAAAATTAAATGTATTGTACTCTGAATTCAGCTGTGCCTACTACAGCCATTTCATTTCCTAAGAACTCCTCGTTCTAATTAATTATACTCATGTATAGTAATTTCTTCAAATAGACTTATGAGTCAAGTTACCAAATGGTTAAAGTTAGGTTAAGAGTACTGCAAAGTGAGACAAAATATTTTTTAGCCATAAACCTCATACCCCTATGATTTGTGTGAGTCTATGATTTGGCAGAACTTACAATACATGGTTTCAGAAATTAAATTGCGTTTGGAGATTATTGCCACTCTGCATATGTAATTAAGTGTCCTCATTATTATCTGCAGAGCTTTGAAACTAAATCTCCACAGTTTTATGGGAAGATTTGAAGCAATGGTCTCAAATCAGTTAGTTGAAGAGAGTTGTGCAATTATCTGCCTGTTAGGAAAAGTTTGCAGCTGCCCAGTCTCTATGCAGCAGGCTGGATGGATAAAGTAGTGAGTCCTATGCTGTATTAATTCAGCAAGCATTCACTGAGCACTTGCATGTATCTGCCACCTTGTCCTCAGAGGCGTGATGGCTCAGATGAACATTGTGAGAGGTCCATGGAATGTTTGATTGGAAAGAATTTTCCTTGGTCTGGCTTCCCTGCTCTATTGTCAAGACCTAGAAAATGCAAGTGATTTAAATTCTCACGTCTAATTTTAGAGTCAGTGCTAGAATTAGAATGTACAAGAGAAAACAAAATTAAAACAAGTGAAGCTAAGAGTTCAGAGTAGGTGCTGAGTTGACTAAAGATAGTGAAGTGCAAACAGTACAAATGACACAGCGATGCCATGGGAAGGTAAGTCAGGGAATGATTAAGCGGAAAATTCATTTATATCGGTGTGTCTAGATTGTAATCCTCATAAACAAATTATTTCATTTGCATTGATTATATATGAAAGATGAATATCATTCTTAACTGAAGTCATCCACAGTGGTTAATACATACAGACATAATTCTTTTATAACGTTTCAACATTATTTACAACATATCAAATTGAACAAAATATTAATTTTAAAGGCAATAGTTTTTCCATAGCATATTAAAAGTTTAGAATCATGTCTTGGTCTCATATAAAGTAAGGTAAATAAGTATTATTTTTTTCAATCTAAATAAATGTAATTCATAGTCAGTAGTCAGTGCTTCACGTAGCTGGAACGATATTTTCCAACATGTTTATATTGCTCTTTCTAACAATGTTTCAAGTATTCATAATAACCAAACAAAAATCCTTAGAAAATATTACGGAACTTGGAAATTACATAAACAAAAGTAATGTAGATATATTTTAGACTTTGACTTTGGGTACTTTCGTTTAGAGATTTTATTACTCATTTGTAACCATCATCATTAAATAGGGTAGCTTAGGGTTCATTTTAGTTGGTATGTTTTACCCATTTTTTTCCCTCTATAAACATCACTGAATGGAAATACCATAGTATTTGGCTTCATGTTTTCTGATCTCTTCTGCCATTCCACTACCCTCATAAATAGAGGTGACTCTAATCTCTTTCTTCTGAGTGAACGCCATGTTTGCTATTTGGATGTTTGGCCTTTTTCTTATTACCAATAAAGCTCCATCAGCTCAGACCCTTATCCCAGTTCACACTGGTGTAAAAATTAGGGTAGCTATAGAGATATTTTAGTATTTTAAAGGGACCTGTTGTAGACTCTTAGGTTCACAGTACCAAGCTACAGTTTTCTAAAACAAGACCTTGATTTCACTGTTCTATACATGAACATTTTACAGCATGATAGATTTAGTATTAGATGCTATTCTAGATATATTTTACATTAAAATAGACTTCTTATTTACACTTGGTGTGGGTCCAGATATTTACATTACTTTATAACATAGAAAATCCTTTCCATGAAATTTAGAATGGAAAATAGTAAGTAAAAGAAAATATTTCTAGTTTTTAAAAGGTTGGTCAGAATAAATAGCTTTTATTAATGCACATCACATGTGTCATATGCTTTACATCATGATTTAAGCCATTGAAACAACAGATTCATTCCAGAGTCATTTTAAAAATATGTTTAGGGCAAAAAAAGGAGCAAAGAGAAATTACTTTAAGCTGTACACAGAAGTTACGGAGATTACATAATGTAATTCTGTGCCCAATGTGTCTAATCTTACTCCATAGATCTCTAAGAAGGTAGTTCTTTATAATTAAATTATAATTTAATTTATAATTGAATTATACTGCATCTTTATCTGTGTATTATAATAGGCATATCACACACAGATTTTAAGTGGCCAGTAGAGACAGGTAAACCACATCATTACATTAATATCACTAATAGAAAAATATCCAAATTGTTTTTATTTTTATATGAATATAATAGAATGGAAATAAAATCAATATTGATTATTCTCTCCCATTTTGAGATGTTTGCCACTTAGTAGGGCTTGCAAAATAGTAGAAGTCTACAAAAATATGTATGGTGTATACTGGCGCTACACAGACGTGCAATACAACATGAAAAGCCACAGGGTTACAGCAGTGCTACAGAGCAGTTACCCTGAATCCAGGTGGGTGTAAAACAACAGATTTGTAGAGGAAATGTCACTTCAATCTGGCTGAGCCATTCAAATGCACTGAGTAGGTGTTCAAGAATGCATAGGAAGCCGGGAGACTCACAGATGCAAACTTTCCAAATGTTTGAGTTGGCTTTCTATGGGAAGGCAAGTGGTTCTGTAAATGGCAAGTTAGGCAAAGACCCTTCCACTCTGCAGAAGCACTTTCACATTCTTCTCTCAAAAATACAGTTATCACTGAGGAATTTCTTATCAAGAAATGACAATGTGGCTGCACCCCTGAAAGTGGACTGAAGCAGGCCAACACTGGAGAAGAAAGGCAAAGTAAGAGTTGATTTTGAGAGCCTGAGATGAAGAATTAGACATTGAAGATGCAGTGAAGAATTCAGCACTAGAAAGTAAAAGCAAGACTTATAAAATATAACTGGAGGACTGAAAATGGGGTTTGGGGCATGAACATGAATGTTATCTTTCTATCCTTGTCACTGTTGTATTGCCACCATGACTAAGGCATTTTTGTTTGTTTGTTTGTTTGTTTTAATAAAAGAAAGCATTTAATTAGGGGCTTGCTTCCTGTTTCAGAGGTTAGTCAATTATCATGGTGGGGCCGAAGATAAGCATGAAGTTTTGGAACTGTAATTGAGAGCTTTACATCCTGATCCTTAGCCTCAAACAGACAGACAGCAGACAGACAGACAGACAGACAGACAGACAGACAGACAGACAGACAGACACACACACACACACACACACACACATACACATACACACACACACACACACACTGGGGCACTGGGCTTTGCATGGGCTTTGGAAACATAAGAGCCCACCCTTAGTGACACACCTCCTTTAACATGTTCACACCTTGCAATACTTCCAAACAGTACATCACTTGGGGACTAAAAGTACAAGAACTGTACTTTAGGGGACATTGTCATTCTGACCACCATAGCGCATGACCTGATTAAAACTGTCAGGGAGATCTGTTCATGAAAAAAGGTCTAAGAGCAATTAGGTTCTTGGATAAAAGTAAGTTCATTTTAGGGCACAGCATGGTTTAGAGAGCTGGGCAAATGCAGCCTAAGAATCACTGTAGGTAGTATTTTGAGTTAGAAAATTAATGAGTTCAGGCTATTTGTCTAAAGACTTTATATTTTCATTTATAAGGTATTTTGAAAAAAATTCTTATTGACTCCTTTATGTCTTAATGTTGCTTGTTATCTTGACATTAATAGTATGAAGAAGTTTATGCTGAAATTAAGTACCTCTGATTAGGTAGAGATAGATCATATATTTGAATGTGGCTTTGAATAAGCTTA